TGCGCTCCTCTGTCCTTGGAGATCTATAGCCCAAGGTAGCTGCGCAGCTCTCCTAGATCAGTGCAGGTGTGTCTCCTCAGCAGCTCAGCCTTCACCGAGGCCAGAGCGTCTCTGTCCGCAGTAGCAAAAACCAGGTCGTCTATGTAGACAAGGATGTAGAACGATGTCTGTCCTGTGGACAAGGACATAGAGTGAAGGGTCTGCAGACGACGGGAAGAACTGTAAGTCAGCTAACGTAGCACGCAGCGTGTTGTGCCACTCACAGGGTGCCTGCCGCAGGACGTAAACTGGGCGTCGGAGGACGCACTCAGTCCCGGGAGCGAAGGTGCCAGTGAACCCCGGCGAACGGCGCAGGTAGACCTGCTCTTGTTGAATGCCTTGCAGAAATGTTGTGGAGAACTCCAGAGAGTGCAACTTGTATTCACGCTGAGCTTCTACGTGTAGCAGTGCCCGAAGAGTGGTCACTTTCGGTGTCCGGGCGAAAGTCTGAAAGAAGTCAACACCCTCGCACTGACCGAAGCCTCTCGCAACGTAGCTCGCCTTAAACACCAGCAGCTCTTCAGGAGGGCGCTTCACCTGGAAGAGCCACCGGCCATCGACTACGTTCAACCCTGGTGGGGGAACTGCGTCGACAAAGGTGCCGGTGGATCTCTAAGATGCCATCTTCACATCCATGGCAGCTATCCACTGAGAGGCCCAGGGTCCTGAGGTCGCCTCAGCGTAAGTGCGAGGGGTCGGGATGTCAAAGGCGTCTGGGTCACCCTAAGGGACTAGCAGCACGGAGCAATTATGAGGCGCGCCCTCGGACAGGGAAGCAAGCTTGTACTGCTGGTCGTCCAGGACGTCACTGCCGAGGGCAGAAGGACCCCCGACGGATGGAGGACGGACACGGTCAGAGACCAGAGCGGTGGCGTAGTCAACGTGGTGAGTAGAGGCAAAGTCAGCGATGGCAGCGACAAGAGCGTCAATACTCGAGACAGGAATGGACGGGTCGGTAACGAGGGAGGCAAGGACTCGAGGAACAAGAGGACTAGCGGCATGAAGGTAGTCAGACAGAGGAGGCGGTGCGACAATAAGCGACGACAGAAGAGGCGGCGGGAGGAGGGGAGAATGAGACACCTGGGAACAGAGCAACATAGGGTGAGAGCACTGAACAGAAGAGACTGTACGGGTACGAGAGGGACGGCGAGGCCAGAAGTGGGACAGAGGCGTCGGGTCAGGAGACATACAAGGAGACCCAGGAGGAGAACGAGGGGGGAAACGAGCCGGAGACGAGTCCGGCAGCGGAAACACCGGGCTGTAGACAGGCAGAGGAGGCGGCTGCGGGGGAGGCATAGGGGAGACCGAGGAGGCTAAGGACGGACACCGGCATCAACTGCTGCTGTTGCTGATGCTCCACACCGACACCTAAACCTCCAGATGCAATACGGCTGCCTCCAGGACTCTCCACGCCAACACCCCCAGAACGAGAACCCTCTCCAGCACCGGTGCCACCCCCAGGACCATCGGGACAAGCCACGACAGTAACCCTAGGACTAGCAACTTCGGAACAACCACCCCCATAACTGTTAGAAGCACAATAGGCTCAGATGTGCCTAAAATGAGAGAAATTGTGCATGGTCAGAATTCCGTTAGACAGCTTCAAATATTAATGCCGATCTGATCTGTGCCTCAAACGGTCATATGTAAATTGGATCTAGAGCGCGTTGCTGTTGCCTATTAGCAGCAAGTGGAATCATAAAATTCCATGAAGATTTGACGACGCTATGGCAGTTTGACTGGCAGGAGGTACAGTAGCCACTGTAGTCTTTTGAGTACAAACTTAGCAAGAATAGTTCGAGGTAGGGATGGTTCCCAGCCTCTACATACCCCAAGAGCCGAGGTCCAAGTTGGTGGTACACCACCACAGAGTCCCCAACTATGAGGAGACTCGAAACAAACCCAACAAGGGGCTACACCAAGTGAAATGTAACACTACTTGAAGTTGCATTACTATTTTCACTTTTGTAATATTTGTCCACGTCCCTTGGGCTTGAAATCTTGAGCTCTTGGTCTTGGTTCAGCAAGATCAATTCTTCTTGAGATGATGAGGGCTTTCTCCACACACCTACAATGATATGGACACTTCACACTCGACAAAATAGAGAAAGCACATGCGACGCGCAAACGACGACTTGACATGCGAGTTGTGAAAACTCGCTAATGTCTTGACCGACACAAACCACATTGTGATACACCATTCAAACACACACACAAGCACTAGATAGCAATGACATAGACTCACAAGTCATTCCATGCCATGCATGCACACACACAAACAATGACGACAAACCGAATGCAAGCCATAGGGTTGCACCAACAAGAATGAGTGCCCTCCCCAGCACCAGTGCCACCCCTAGGACCACCGGGACAAGCCACGACAGTAACCCTAGGATTAGCACCCTGCTCAACGCCCGCACCCCCAGTGTTGGCGGACCCCTGTGGCGGCTGTAACGTTGGCGATGGCTGCTGTTGTGGCGACGACAGAGGAGGAGACACTGGGATGGAGACAGGCGGTGAGAACGGTGCCGCGGGTCCACCAGAGTCAGCTGACTCCTCGACCCGGACAACTGACGGGAGGGGAGTGACATGAGACACACTAGACGAGGCAGGACGGGGAGGGAGAGGAGCAGGGGCTACCGGGGGAGTGGGAATGAGAAACAGGGGTGGGGAAACTGGGAGACCTTGGTGGGGAAAGCGGTGGCAGAAGGAGACAGACTCATCAAAAGTGACGTCACGCGAGTGAAAGAAACGGTGAGACGGCGGGTGGTAAAAGTGCCTGTCAGACGTGTCGAGGGGGAAGCCAAGGAAGACACAGGAAGTGAGCTTGTCCGTGCCAGAGGCACGAACGTGAGCAAGGCAGCCCCAGACGTGGAATGAGATGCGTCACCAGGGAACCCAGTCTAGAGAAGGGTCGGCGAAACCTGCGGCTGCTGGGAGTGCGGCCATAGGTTAAGCTTGTGAGCGGCGTAGCGAACAACGAACGGCCACAAAAAATGGGGTGCACAGGCAAGTCTCGTACCTCCCTTGAATCGAGATGTACCACGCCCTAAAACAAAACGCCTGGTGCCTAAGGCATAGTGGCACTGGGCTGTGTTTGCACTTCGGAAGTCCCTAAATATATGGAGGGTTGTTTCAAATTGTGACACGACTTTCAGAGGAGTGTGCGGTGCAGTCGTCATAGGTGGCAAGTAATCAGAGAATAGAAAATGCAAATGAGACTAGGTGGCAGGTTTCTCAGACCTGCGAGTGTTAACATCTACATATTAT